AACTATGTAATCATTTCGGTAAAATTGATTTGTAAAAAAAGTGGTCATACTAGTTGAAAATAATTTTGATCGTTGTGAAAAAAAAGTGATAATTCATTTTTGAGAGATTACAATGACCTAGAAATACTAAATAAAATGAGTATAACTTTTGAATTCTACTATGATCTTTTTCATGTAGCAGATTTCATCCGATTAAATAAGCTGTCATTTAAAGGTTTTATGTGAGTGCAAATTTACTTTAAAGAACGTTTTAATCTCTATCTGTATTTCTAATATTCAAATTTTCAATTTCTACCTTTTTTTAAATCCATAAATCGTATTAGCTGAAATTTCTTACATTGCATTTTTAAATACGTCAGCCATATATCGATTAATGTTTTTCTTATATTTCAAATTTTAATTTTTCAATTAAAAAAAATTGTTCAATTGAGCATACAATGATTTTCCTTTGTAAAATTGTTGATGATATATATTCATTAGATTTTCAGTTACTGATTTCATGAAAAATTTTCAACATTTCTACTTCAATTTCTCTCATACCTTAAATCAATTTGATTTCTCTTATCTTTTTTCGAATGATTTCCTGAAGTTATTTCTTCCAATATTTGGTGTCAAAATTTCTTTGTTGAAAAAAGTAACATTTTAAAATGATGTAAAATGAGAATTTAAAAGAAAGAAGCGTCGTATGAAATGTTTAAAACTTTTCTTAAATATAATATTTGTATGCAACTATGAAAGAAATTTTACTTTTAAAACAATTATCATTTTAATAACAATGATAACTTTTTTAATTAACTGTTCTAAAAATAATTCTTAATAATTATAAACGACAATTTTGGTAGCTTAAAAATGATGTTATTAGAGATTATTTAAATATTTACTTTTTGATTGTTAGATGTATCTGAACAAATCAAGTTAGAAGGATATGAAATCTATTTCATTATACAATTGATGAACGTATCATTCTCACAGAGTTAATGTAGGTATAGTAAATGGTTTCAACTTGTAATGGGTGTGAAAACACTACAGGAGATCGCGTTTTCAAAAGGGGTCATCAATTTATCATTTATGAAATAGCACTATTTGCAAGTATTATTGCTACCGTAGCAAAATTTACCGCTATATTTAATATATTATAACTTTTGAAGGCTAAATTAAGTATGTTTACTTTTCGTCACTGTTAATTCAACTTTTTCTTTTCACAATGCTTTTCGTTATCAATGCAATTTTTTATAGTACTATTCATTATCAATGTGATTTCTATAATACTTATCATTATTAATACGAAAATTAGTTTTCACTTTTCATCACTGTTAATTTAACTTTTTCTTTGTTTCTTTTATAATACCTTTCATTATCAGTATGATTGTTAACACTAAATTGTACAGCTTTTAAAAGTGTTCATTTCACCATTAATATTTTGCATGAGATAATGGATTATTTTGAAATTGTTTCAATGTTATATTGATATTGCAATTAGGCTAAAATGGCTTAATATATAATATTTTATGTTACAAATCGATTTTATTTCTCCTTCTCGAAAGAATAATTCACTTGTTGAAAAAAAATAAGAAATAAAAAATGGAAATTCATCACCGATAATTTCAATAATGATGCTTTAAAATTATATTTGAATAATTTACATTAGTAAATTCTAAATTTATCTTATTAAGATGGCAAAATCATTTTTCTTTAGCTTGGGAATTTCGGTTGTAATAGTTTTGATGCGAAAATTACTTTCAGCTCTTAATTGAAGTTCTCAGTAATTAAACTATGAATGCAGAAAATGAGTGGAGCAATCGAGGATTTGTTTGGGAATTTCCAAGTAAACAGAGATGTTTTGTAGTCATGAAATAATTTATAATCCATTATAAATTCTTTTCAGCCAAATATCAACCAGTTTACTGAAATATCATTTTAAATGAAATCATAAAATTCCAACAGTAGTATTTTAATTTGAAATTCAAATTTTTAAAAATTTCAACAAATAGAATAACTAACAAAATAAAAGCAAATATTAGTGATGGAAATAATATTCAAGAAAGAAACAAACAACATTAGATGATAATATTTTTATATATATATATAGTATAAGATGATTGCCTACACATAACAATTGGTGGTAGCTGGCTGCTTGGTTAGTAGTATTTCTCCTTTAAGAAGATTTTATTCATTCATTCACTTTCTTAAACACACACTATCAATGGTGATTTATGTTCAATTGATATGTAAAATATTAGTAGTGGTGGCACGGCACGATCGGCTTCCAAACTGCTTCACAAAATGTCGCTTAGAACGACTATCAAAGCAATACACTTTTTTTGATATAGAAACAATATTTATTAATACTTGTTGAATAATCATTGCTATTCGATAATATAGTAATCTTTCAGTTATGATTTATGTTCTTATCAATTACGGAACTTAATGTTTCATATCTAACAATGAGCCCATATTGTATATTGATGAAGTTCTTTAAGTTTGTTTGTGATTTCAACTGAAAACTAGAAAACTGTTTGTCTATTTTATTCGTAAATATATTCTAATCCATGCTAATTATTAATTATTATTCATATTAAATTGCTTTTCGCTTTATCAAACCAAAGTTTGGAGTATTATTTGGTTAACAAAATAATTCGCTCTCTAACTTTTACGAAAAAAATTTTACGACTTTCATCTTTTTTGATAAAATTTCTTAATGCAGATATTATCGAATATCGTAGATAACAGGATCAGATTCACATCCGGAATATTCAAGTGTAAATCATGAAAGTTGCACTAAATATCAACAATGAAATTATTTTTTTGTTAACTGAAAAGTTACAACAATTTTTCGAATGGATTCAATTAAATGGTTGGTTAATTAAAATTTCAATTCAAAGTTTTTTTTTTTTTTGTTGAAAATTTCTAATAATTGAAAGAAATTGGCACTCAATCTATCACATTCGACAATATTATATTCCACCTATCTACCGTAATCGACTATTTTAATCCGTGAGAACAGATGCAATTGTGGCCTGGTTGATGACATGTACCAAACTGATCAATGTCATCTAACATGAGGTTATCACTGATTGCATCTTTCTTTCACCGTACTACACCACCATACTCATTCTTCAACACTACTACTCTTGAAAAATTGATTACCCTTATTCCGTATTTTGCTGCAAAAATATTTTTCCAGAAATTTATCCCCCTCCCCCCACTCCTCCAAAAACAACAATAACAAATGAATGATACTAACTGATATATAGCAATCAGATAAATTGTACATACCTTTTTATCAATTCGTCTGCCTCCAAGATACCATCAAATTCAACAATCATTACAAACTGCCAGCAACCAATCAGCTCATCGGCCAATCAACAAACGATTCATTCCACCCATTTTTGCATTCATCTCTGTCAACATAATGCCTCAACGAAACTCTTTGTCTGTTAACTTGCGCTAAAATTTAGAAAACTTTTTTTTTTCTAGATTATTATAATACTTTAAAAGTAACTTAAAGGTATAACCCTTTTACATACTTAATATATCCCTCAAATATTAATATTAGCCAGGTAAAGGTAAGTAAAATAATAAAAGAAATATTTCAAAAAAGATTTAGAGACATAAAATTTCTTTCACCCTCTTTTCATCTTTTTTTTTCCTCATCTTTCGTTTTGTCCTAACTATCTAAACTCCACCCCCATTTCTCATTCTACATCAATAGCTGATTAGAAAAACGAAACAATCTCTCCAATCTCTTCAGATTGCTCCACCTATTTTGCCCCAATACTCTTACCCACGATCTTATCCCCTCCCTCCTCTCGTCCCTGTTGGGTGATGATGCCGCTTTGCCCATTGCTTGCTGCTTGCTATACTCTACTCCCTTCTTTTATTCATTCATCGTAATCGGTCTTCACGCCCGGCGCACACATACATACAACAAACTTCCTCCCTACCGCCAACTACCACCACTTCTTTCTTGTAGAATTCCTTCGGAGTCATCTTCCCTATTCAATTTAATTCAATTCCATTCAATTCAATTCAATTCATTTCAATTCAATTCATTTTCAATTATTTCAATTCAATTCAAATTTATATTTATTATTCGTAACATTTCTATTAATTTGTTATATTAGAAATAGAAGATAGTATTGAAAAAATTATATCCATTCTAACAACAATAAAAGAAAGGTCAAGATCAGAAAGAGAAGAATAGATACAGACAGATATAAATAAATGCATTATATATATATATATATATATGTATTGTCATCTAATGATAACAAAATTCTTTAGACTAAATGAGTTACTTCCTTCTTCATCCATCCTTTTACATCGTATTTGATTGTGTAGTTTTAATTGAAATGATATTTGAAGTTTTGAAAAAGTGGGAGTAGAATTTGGAAAGACTGTCACCTATTGACTTTTTAATAAAGCTTATTAGTTTGATTTAAAATGCCAAAATTTTTGTATTATCAAAAGAAGCGCTCTTTTATTGCTCTCACCTTTTTTTTCTAATATTAATGCGCTCTCTGTGAACAGTAAACGACAACCATTCCCGCCCCCCCCCCTCTTCTCTCAACTTCATTCAACAGGAATATTTACATTTACATTACATTATTATTTGATGCCACTACTACTACTACTACTACGATTACTACTACTACTACTACTACAACAATTACTATTACTACTACTACTACTGCTACTACTACTACTATCTACTTACAATAACCGCTGTCGTCATTTCTTCCTCCCTTTACGTATCATAATACAAAAGCTGTTTTCATTCAGCTGTTATTATTATTATTATTATTGTTGTTGTTATTGTTGTTGTTATTAGTATTGTTCTTTTATATTGTTAGTTGATCGTTATCATTCTTCTTATTGTATGTCTTTGATTACATTCTCATTCTTATTCTATTCTTATTTCAATTCTATTCCAATTTTAATTCCATTCCATTTCATTTCATTTCATCGATGTACTACCAATTATATTTCAGGGTTTTCAAATGATGATGATGATGATGGAAAATGAGCTCAAAGCTACACCTGGAACAGCAGCAGCAGTAACAACAGCGGCAACAAGTGCTTCCGCAGCTGCAGCTCTTCAAGATGCATTTTCACTTTATAGTGCCATGCCGCCGGGTTTTTCCATGCCACCAACATCAACTTCATCTATTCCGACTGTCGAAGAATGCTGTGTTCCGAATTCACCCGGATCACCATGTTTAAAGGATAAAAAAGGTAAGGCACTTTTAAAAGTTATTTTTTTGTTCGTTTGTCTATTTTATTGTTTTAAAAAGTATAAAATGAGAGAGCAATAATATGTTTTGAGAAGTGATTTAGAAGATAGAAGAAGCACTATTTCCTGAATGAAAATGGAATTTAATCTTTAATTTTCTTCCTTAATTTTTATATCAAAAATGAATTCTTTACAGATGTTAACTGTTGATTATAATTTAAAATAATACAAATTAATACATCAAATTTCATCGTTTTGAAAAAACATTTGATTTCACTTATGGGACATTTATCTTATCTTACAAGAATTTTATTGACAACTTTGAGTTTAAAGTTTGTAAATTATAGAGTTTGCGAAGTCTCATTCTCTATTCTTCTCATTTTTAGTTTCACCTTCAAAATACATATTGATTTCATTTACGTGATTTGGTTGTTTTACAGCATTTATTATAATTTTACGAAAATTCGGAATTTTAGGTGATGATCGAGTAAAACGTCCCATGAACGCATTTATGGTTTGGTCTCGCGGACAACGCCGTAAAATGGCTCAAGAGAATCCAAAAATGCACAACTCAGAGATTTCTAAACGCTTGGGACAGGAATGGAAATTGCTGAATGAATCGGAAAAACGGCCATTTATCGATGAAGCTAAACGTCTTCGAGCGATTCACATGAAAGAACATCCGGATTACAAATATCGCCCGAGGAGAAAAACGAAAAATTTGCAAAAAAAGAATGGTCTAGCAATGTCAGCCAGTACATTCTTGGATCCAATCAAAACTCAAAATATTTATCAGCCAATGACGACCGGATGGCAACAACCGATCAACTCCGTTTCTAGTTCACCATACTTTGATTCTTATTCGTTGTATGGCCGTACAGGTTATGAGAATATGATCGGAATGCCATATTCGTTAAGTAGTGCAACATCACCAGCTTCACATTATTCGCAATCACCTAGTTGTTCATTGGCTGCCGCAGCTGTACAATATCAGCAAGCTGCCGCTGCACAACAACAACAACAACAACAACATTACAGCAGTGCTGCAGGTATCTCGTTAGCAGTGAAACCTGAAACTTCCTCTGATGGTGCCACTAATACGGGAACAAGTAGCGGTGAATCACCGGATTCCGGAGTTGCAGCTGCTGTAACAACGGAGTCACCATTGACTTCACAATTTCGTGCCTTCTACGAACCTCATAAAGATTCTTCATCAGCATCTGCTTCAGCAGCAGCAGCGGCAGCAGCAACGATGAATATGTATATGCCACAGGATCCTCGAATACAGTATGCTGCGCTCAATGGTACCATGGAAGAACACATGACATTACCATTGCAACATATGCAATCTATGTGACTACACTATTTACTGCTATGTTCATTATCGTTGTTTCATCATATATTATTACCATATATTATTATTATTAATATTATTATTTTGTCAATATTTCAATTTGTGATCTTTAAACGCAGTCGGAGTAACCGATTTCTTCACTCAGGTACGTTGAATTTTTAATAGTTTTTTAAAACTTTTAAATTCGTTTTTATTCGCATGCAAACTTCAAAGAAACACGCTTTCTCTAAATTTTTTGAATGCCTCAATTATATATTTTTGAATAAGTATGTGTGTACATGAAATGGGAAAGCAATAGACATATACTTTCTGCTCATTTTTGTACACCATTTCAGTATTTAGGCTTATCAGGGGTTTATTAAGACTAGTATATTTGAGATTAGATACTTTTAAAGTATTAGAATATCGATTTAGAGACGAAGAAAAGAGCGAAGTATAGGAACTAATGATTTTAAAATCTGAGATGACTCATAATTTTAAATCTATAAGTTTATTTTCCTAAATGATTTATTTCGGTAGAAATGATCTAGAATATGCTTGCTAGTTTTTTCAGATTAAGATTACCACTTCATTACAATTCCAGTATTATTGAAATTACTCAATTATTTAATTTCTTCATTGATCACATCTCTCTCTTGTCAGTTATTTATTTATTATTATTAAGCACAATTATTCTCATACAAACTAATCAAGTATTTAGTATGCAACAATATACGTAAAAATAGGTGAAATGAAATTATATCTTATGTTAGACATGTAAAACAATTATCCTAAAATGATAATGGTTTTTTAATTTTCCATTTATAAGTATATGTTCGATTTCAGGATTCAAAAAAAAAGAAAACGGACAATGGGTTAGCTATTAGCTATTGGAAATTCCTAGAAGAATGCATTCAATTCAGTTCAATATCCATCACAATTTATCACATCAAAGCTCTCTTCGTTAAAATTGAGTTTTTTATTCTCTATCTTATCGAAATTTTAACTATTTTATCAATAATATTACTACTCTTTCCTGTTTTATTTATAAAATGAAATTTAAAAGAAATACTACTACTATCTATTTGCCATATTTATTGCATCCCTTTATTATCAGTTATTGGATTTTGTGTAGAATAAATGAAAAAAGGCATTTGTAAGTTTTGAATAAATTGAGAGAATAAAACCTGAATGATATTAATATAGGGAAGTTAACTTCCTGTTATCTCCCGGTGCTGGGCATTACCTCAATAAGATCACATGATACTAGTTTCTTTTTGATATTTTTGTTAATTATGATAATAGTAATTTAAATAAGTTTAATTAAAAGAATTTCGATCTCTTTAAAGTTTAAGATAAATTGAAAGTTTGAAGTGAAAGATAGCATTTTTAAATTTCTTTCAAATACATTTTTTTTAGTATTACATAAGCAAACATCATAATTATTGGCATTATTCTAGGAGTTAATTTTTAAATCATTTGCTAACGAAATGTCTTCTTCTATTATTTATTAATAATGTTACAGTTTCATGTATGTGTTTTGTTTTTTGAGATTATTCATTCTCTTGCTTCTGTAGATATATATATATATCTATCCTTTCCATTAATACTCAAATTTTCAATAAAATTTGAATTTCATAAGCAGGCTGAAGTTATCTGCAGGTGATTGAGCTTAGTAACTTTCTTTTACCTAAGAGATTAATATAATGAAATATTTCGTGTTACGTTTACTATAAGTTTTTAATTATTGCAATTGTAATCAAGTAATAATTGATAGTAATGAGTAAAGGTTATTATACACTGAGTATCACTCGTCAATCTCTAATGTCGAAAATTTTCTACATTTTTTTCCATCACCTGTTTTTCTTACTTTGGCTGATTAAAGAATACGGTTAGAAAAAATAAGTCTCATTTTCTCTATTTTAGTACCTCGCAGTATAAACATTGTGGTGAAAAATTTCCTTCCTATACTTATAACAACGGGCAGGGTAAATTTATCATTAAAAACTCAATTCAAATAAATTTCTTAATTTCAAATAACTTCGTCTTTGGTGACAGCTTTACCGTATGTGCATAGTTTTAAAAATATTTTAAATAATTTGAAACTTTAATTTAATACTGAAAAAGAAGTATAAAGGATAATAAGTCATTAAGCATTAGGCTTAGCTCTTTCTTTTATAATTTAAAGACATTAGCTTTGTATCAAAATGTTTTAAAATGTTTTATCCTTTTTCAATTTAAAACTTTTTTCATTTTTTTTCGATTTCCCTTTTTTCTGCTTTCTTTGTTTTAATTTCTTTGTTTTAAATTTCAATTTTTTTTTTTGCTTTCCGTATATTTCAAACAATAAAATTTTTATTTTTTAATTAATATTAAAAGGTTAATTAATTAACTCTATACGAGTAATAGAATAATGTGAAATTTTTAAATTAACCAATTGATGGAAGTTCATATAATGGTGCTAGCCGATTCTACGTTTCTTCTGGAGGCCCATTTTTATTATACTTCTCAGTTTTTGTTTAGAATTTTTCTGGATTCCCCCTCATCTTCATTTGCGTTAAAATGAAAAGTATCGGTGAAATTTAATGATGAAATGAAAGAGCTGCTACCGTTGCATTAACTTCTAATAGCTATTTATTTAATATATTTTAACGAAGAAAATTATAATTATTAAAGGGATAGATCAATTTTGTTAAAAATTTTATGGAGCAATTCAGATAGCCCTGTTGTTGCCAATATTGATTATTGCAACCGATTGTGTTCTCTGTTTAAAAAATACGACTTTGCTTATGTTTTTGTTGTGTATTCCCTAAAATTGATTTTTCATTTTTGCTATAATATCACACTTCTTCTTTTATTTTTGAAATGAAATTTTAATAAAATTCTGTTGCAATAATGCAAATCTTTGTTTTGCATTGGAGAAAATTTTCATGTTGCATGCAACAAAACATCAAGTAAAATCTTCATGTTGCATGCAGCAATATCAAGTATGTGCTGCATGCAGTAAATGTTCATTTGTTGCTATAATAGCAATGAACAAAAATTAACTACAATGTGAAATTTTGTTTTTACTATTTTATTTAATAAATGCAAACGAGCAAAATGCACAGTCTCATTTGTATAGCAATTCATATATAATATGGGTAAAATTTTGCGCTCATAAAAATTGAATTAAAATAACTCTATTATAAAACAACAATAATACATTTCAACGTCATTCATATTTAAGTTAAGTTAATTGCAATAAATTATTATTAATATTGTTATTAATACCACTGTCATTATCATTGTTATTATTATTATTATTATTATTATTATTATTATTATTATTATTATTATTATAAATATTATTATTATTATTATTATTATTTTTTATTACTGTTATTATCTCTTATTATTATTATTGGTACTCTTAATTATTATTAACAACAATTATTATTAGTTATTATTATTAATATTGGCACTAATAATTATTATTAGTAACAATTATTATTATTAGCTATTATTATTATTATTATTAATATTGTTACTATTATTATTATTATTATTACAATGATATTTCTGATGATAGATTGGAATGGCTACGATTATATTACAACAAATTTTATATGTTAAATCAATATAATATCAAAATTAAAATTGTTAAAAATTTATACCACAAATTCAACTTTTTTGAAAAAATCTTTTTTTCTCTCTTTAAAGTATTGCATAAATTTTCGTGAAAGAACTAAAATTTCCATCAACAATCTGATAACTATCAACAAATTTGTTTTCTTTTCATTTGTTCGACTATTTAAGGATGAAAGATAAAGAAGATCGGAAGGGTGGCATTAATTGAAATGTAAATATTTGGATGTCCGAAACAAAAAACGAAATAAAAGTCAGCGGGAAGCAATAGCCAAAATGGATGGATGTCCATCCATACTCTAATCAGCAATCAACACCCTTCTCTTACATTTTTTCTTCATTGGAATTTGACATTTCATTTCATGTTTTTTTCTTGTAAAGGAAAAAGTTTCGAAAGTTGAAGAGAAGAAAATTCCGAGACAGTTTAACTTGACAGTTGTTTTGCAACATTGTGGAAAAGAGTTATTTATTATTGAGGAAATTTTCAACTAAATACTAAACTTCGACCATTTGAAGAAGTTCCGAGACAGTTTAACTTGGTAGTTGTTTTGCAGCATTATGGAAAAGAGTTATTTATTATTGAGGAAATTTTCAACTAAATACTAAACTTCGACCATTTGAAGAAAGAAGTTCCGAGACAGTTTAACTTGGTAGTTGTTTTGCAACATTATGGAAAAGAGTTATTTATTATTGAGGAAATTTTCAACTAAATACTAAACTTCGACCATTTAGAGAGAAAATTCCGAGATAGTTTAACTTGATAGTTGTTTTGCAACATTGTGGAAAAAAGTTGAATAATTATTTACTATTGAGGAAATTTCCAACTAAATACTAAACATCGACTATTTAAGATTACTCTAAAATATTTGTTTTTTAATTGCGAAAAAAATACTTTGTGAAATTAAACTTTTAGTTGAAAAAAGGATTACAAGAATTTTTGCTGGAAATATTATATATTTATATTTATTATATATTATATATTATTATAATATATTTATTATTATTATTATATATTTAGTTGGGAAAGTTGCAAAATTGGGAGTATAGCAATTTTCCGAAATCGTTTTGCATCTTTTTTTGAGTTTCTAATTTTTCGTAATTTCGAAATACCAGCAAATCTATCTACCACTTGACAACATAATAGCTAATTTCAATTCAAAGAGAAAAATTTGATGTTCTATTGAGAAATGTATGAGTTATGAATAAATATCGAATTAAAATTTATTTGAATCAAATTTAAATTTAGGTATCTGAATTTCAAAGTGAGAAATATAAATGATGATATTCAAATGTAAAGTATCATTGAAAATTTAAAATTTTTGAATAAAACTTATTTTCAATTCAAAAAATACTAACCGATACTGTAATAGGGAAGTGACTGATATAATTATCAATGT